CGTTTATACTTAACTTTCTACTTAACGTAAAAATCTACCTATAATTCTATATTAGTATATTAAAACTAGTAGACTCTAAAACACTACTCTAGAAAACCTTTTACTTTAAAATAGAAGAGAATAATATCTTTAAGGTTAAATAAATTCTTAAACATTAAAATAGTAATAATAGAATAAAGTACTTAGTTAAATAGTTAGAATATAATAATAGTAATAATATATAGAAACTAGATATAAACCTTATAAACTACTAATTACACCTTTAGAAGTACTATGCCTAGCAATAAAGGCGTTAATTAACTCTATTATAGCCTATATAGCTAGCAAGAACTCTATACTAATAGAAGAAGTAGAATAGTTAATATCTTACGCTACTTTAGTTTTGCTAGCTACCTCTATATTAGAAGCTAAGCAAAGCGCCTTTCTACGCGCTTATTTCTCTACCTATTTTAGAATTTTCTTATTTTATAGTAACTACAAAATTACTACTACTAATAACTTTTTATTATTATTAACTTTCTTTTAGTACTTCTTCTAAGTATAGTCTAAGAACTTCTAGAATATGTTTATATATACTTAACCTAACTAAGTATACTTAGTATACTTTAGACAAGAATTTAGTATAATAAGATAAATAACTTTTTTAAGAAAATAATAGTTATAAGAAGCTTTAGTAGAATAGTTAGCTTAAGCAATTTTAGAGCTAAGGCGTAAGCAATGTTAGTAGAAAGAAAATATAATAACTGCCTTACTTATAACGCAGAGCAAGCCTTAGTTATTAATAGAAATAATAAATTTATTACGTAATTTAAGAATAAATCTATAGAAGAGAAGAATAGTGTTATAATCTAACTTAGAGAATACTTAGAGGTTAGCGTTATTACTATAAAGAATTATGTAGCATAGTTATAAGATTATAGTATAAAAACTACGCTATAGTTACGTAACTACTTATCTATAAGTAGAACAGCGCTAGTTCTATATAAGCGCTTATCTATAAGTATAAGTAGTTAGACTAATAACTAGTAAGATATATTACTACTTATCTATAATTACTTATACACTTATCTATAAGTATAACTCTTATTAAGTATATAGCTTAGACACTAAACTTTTATAGCTTAGTATATTTAACTTTATATAAGACTCTAGTATTTAATTTAAGAATTATACTTCTTTCTTAATCTTTTGTAATATTATATTATTCTACTAAACGTACTATTATACTCTTATACTATTACATTAATCTTCTAATTATGCTAGTATACTAACCTATTCTACCTTACTTACTTACTCTCTAAGAACTAACTCTTAGGTTATCTTAGAACAACCTTTACATAAATAAAAAATAAATTATTATATTATAAGCTTACTTAGAAAGCTTTTTTAAGTAGTAAAGCTTCTAAAAGCTTATCTTAATCTATACTAGTATAATTATATATAATACTTTATAAGAGTATCTAAAGATACGTTCTATAATAAATACGTAATAGATTTAATAGGTTATACACGTTATAAAGTAAGCGTTTTTTATTATAATCTTCTACACTAAGTTGTATAATAATAGACTTAATTAGATTACGTTTTAGCTAGTACTTTAGTACTAGATTTATTAATTAACTACTTATTCTAATTTTATTAAATTTAATAATTATATCTATTCTAGTAGTAATTCTTTTATACACTATACACTGCTATAGCTTATTATTCTTAGTATTAGTTAAAGTAACACTATACTAAGGCTATTTATATAATATTTTTATTACTAAATAAGAACTTTATAAATACTATTTTATTTTTATTTATAATAATAAGCTAACTAATTTTTACTATTAGCTTTGCTATTTCTTTTATTTACTATCTAAAATAGTATACTACTATTATAGTATTAACTTTTCTACTAACTTATATAGTTCTTAAAATATTTTTTTATTTTTTTATTATAAGTATATACTTTTCTACTTTTATTACTACTACTATATTTTTACTATTAATATTTTAAACTTTATAGTTATATTTAGTAGCTTTAAAAGTAGCTTTTTAAATATTAAGTATAGCTATATATATATATAGAATTTTAATAGTTTTAATAGCTTATAGCTTTAAAGTATTAACGCTTAGTTATTTAAGTATATTTAGTATAGAATTTATAGGCTTTATTATAGTAGAAGCTCTAGAAAAAATAGTGTAGTAGTTAAATATAAAGAATATTTTATAGCTTTTAAGTTAGTAAGAGTAGTAGTAATAATAAACTAATAGTACTTACTTAGTATTCTAGGTAATATAGTGTAAAAAAAAGAAAGAAAAAAAAAATTAGAGTAGAACTTTATATATAAAGCCTTTTTTTACTACTATAACTAAACTTTATAGTTTTAGTTATTTTTTAATACTTAAAAGAGCTTATAGAGTTTTATAGTACTTATTATAAAGGTACTTTTTAATAATTTAAAAAATTTCTTTTCGGCAGTAGTCTCGGGGCGGTCCATAGAAGCTTCGACAAGTAGCGACGTAGTACGAGAATGCAATTAATGTAGGTGTAGAGAGAGGCAATACAACTAGTAATAAGATTAGCTTTAGACTTACTAACGCTAGAAGAACTTATAAAAGAGGTGTTAGCAACGCAGTTAAGAGCTTATTTAGTATACTAGTGCAGCTTTTAGTATTAGATTTAAGCTACTATTTACGTCTTTAATAAGTCTTTAGATCTCTAATTTTACTATAAGCTATAGAATAAGAATAGAGGTAGAGAATAAAGAGTATATATACAGAAGCACAATTTTGCAAGCTAAGATTTTAGCATTTTATTACTTTACAATCTATAGCTTAGTTAGTTATAAGCTATTAAGAATATATAATTATATTATAATCCTCTCTACTATAGTGTAGATAGACGTTAGTATTTATAGGATAGTTACTTTACTACTCTAAATTTTAAAAGCTTTAACTACGCTAGAGGCAGCAGCGCTAAGAACCTAAGCCTTAGCCTGCTTAACACCTGCACCTTTAAACGTAGGATTTTAACCTTTTTAGAAATACGTCTTTTTATATACTAGCAATAGACCTTACTCTTTTTAGACTAGTTTACGCTGTAGGATTAGTTTACTAATAAATAATTTAAAAAAAAATTATTTATAGCTTTTACTTAAGCTTATTAGTTTAAAACTATTACTAAGTATTAATTACTATAAGTAGGTAGAGGGCCTGTTTTCTTATAAATTTACTTATTTAGAAGTACTCTACATGTTTTATTACTCTTGTGTACCTACTTAATTATAGACCTGATTGAGCTTGCTTTCGACAACTCGTATTCATGTGTGGGAACGACATGTACGCGCGACATGACGGGCTGGTTCGAGCTTCTTCCTCATCTCCAAGAACTGCCCGTGTGCCGAGGGCAATTTCCTAGGAACTCGTGGGGACATTGCCCGTCGCGCTACGAACATATAGAGAAATAGCCTGCGTGCGTTTGCGCGAGGCTGAGTTCAGTTTCGGCTGGAGGACGCGGCGGAAGCGGTACCTTTGCGTAAAAAACTGGTCACAATCACTATCTTTTCGTTGGCAATGCGATGAATAAATCACCAAAAGCTACGTCCATGCGATGCAATGGTCGCATTCCATAGTCTTCGGGTCTCCTCAAGGTCCTCAAGGTTTGCCTGGAAACGGCAGACTCGCAAGGACTTACGCAATCTCAACACCACACGGCAACGATATCGGGCTGGATACTCGTTACAGCCCGTCTTCGATTGCGCAGTCGTCGCTCGTCACCCAACTTACGTACCCCCATGCACCGCCATGGTCGGGAAGCCCTTCTTGAGGAAACAGCCAACGGGCGCAGTCGAGACACCCCGCGCAATGAACCACCGGCACGCCCACGCCTCAACTGTCAAGCAAAAGTCCAGCCACCTCTAGACCACGCGCGATCGCCACGCCAAATCACCGATTACATCGCCGAAGCCAACAGTATCATTATCCCCACCCCGATTCACGAAATAACGATGTGCAAGTGACGACAGTTTTTGATCCCTGTACCGAGTGGGCGACCCGGTTTTACGATGGGCAGCGGGCCAGTGTTGGGCCAGGCGAAGCCAAGCTGGGGGGAAGCCGACACCCGGCCTGCGCGCGCGCAAAAGGCCCCATGTCGCAAGTCCGTCAGCGTTGTAGCATTGCAGCGTTGCTCGTGCGACGCATGGTGTTGAACATGATTGTTTCTTCGTTTTGGTTTCAATGGTTTGTGAGATGCGCGACCTGGTTTTCGGGCGACGCCAGTCTCCTGACAAACCATACTTTGGAGCGACTGGCAAACTCTATCGCCACAGCTCCTGAGCGCCAGATGCCATGGCGCGAAACACTCGATACTTAGCTGAACGTTCTTTGTTGGTAGGGGGCTGGGGGCAGTTATTGGGATTTGGGGGCACATACTGCTTTCTGTGGTTGAGTGACGAAGCGGCGCGGCAGTCTGCCAGAGCCGCCCAAGAACGCGCCACGCCCCCTTGGCAGGCACAGAACACGAAGTGTGCCTGAGCCCTGAGTGCTTACGGGGTCATCTCCGCAGCCGCCCGGGTTCGTGCTGGCTCGCGTCTGTCACCTTCTTTCTTTGGCTGCCGTGCGCTCGCTCAGCTCGTGTTCAGGTACGAGGCGTGTCAAAGAGGTGAAGATCGCTGGTGATTTTTATTGTTAGTAGTCGTGTTAAGGGTGATCGTCGCCGGGTGGGAGTGATTGGCATTGTTGGTTCAGAGTTGTCACTTGGGCAAAACAGAAAGGCAAGGGATTCGGGTCATGAATTCGTGGATCTGTAATTTGGCAACAGAGCAAAGAGGCGCTCCCCTAAACAATGAGCAGGGAAAATAAAGAGGTTTAGTACCGTAAGATACATAAGAAAAGAATATGTTTCGAACCAGCGCGAAAGCACGCGTCGCGAGATTGATCTCCAAGCCGCCCTGTCATCTACAGTAGAAGAATTGTAACCCCCAAACACCCTCATAACGTGTGTTGTGACTTGCTTATGCAAGGTCGCAGCACCAGATACCCTCGTGGTTAGCACATCCAATCTTGGTGTACTGGTCGGAAGTGAGGATCTCAGCGTGGCCGGTCTGGCCCTCGTAGTTCCAGCCCTTGGACGCGCTGCCGCAGACATCCTGGAGGCCGGGCAGGCTGGGGATCTCGCAGAGCCATCCACCGTAGAAGACGTGGTCGAAAGACTCCATGTCGGGCTTTCCGGGGGCAAGGACCTGGCCGTAAGTGCCGGGGTTGAGCTTGTGCTTCATGACACCGTTGCCCTCAACAACGACGTTCATGGCGTTGGCCTCGAGCTTGGTGTCGCACTCGAGAGACTTCATGCCGAGCTTGGCACGCGCCTCCTCGACAATGCCCATGTATCCACCGCTGGAAGGAGCGGGAGCAGCGGGGGTCGTGGTTGGCTTGGGAGCCTCGCTGGTAGGAGCAGGGGGAGGAGGAGCGTCGTAGGTGGTGGGCTTCTGAGGAGCGGGCTGGTAGACCATGGTGGTGGTGGGCTTGGGCGCCTCGCTGGTGGGCGCAGGGGGAGGGGGAGGAGCGTAGACGGCAGTGCTGGTGGGCTTGACGGGAGCGTAGGCGGGCATGGTGTTCTTGGCCGGGGCCTCGTACGCAGCGCTGACGGAGGAGCTGGTAGGCTTGGGGATCTCGTAGCCCTCGGTGACGTAGACAGTCTTGACGACAGTCTCAACGACGACATGGACGTTCTTGACGTGCTTGTGCTGGCTGCCGTAACCACCGTAGGAGGGAGCGGCGAGCGCAGAGCCAGCCAGAATGGCGGCGGAGAAGGCGGTCGAGTAGCGCATGTTGATTGATTTCGTGTTGGTTGATTTAGTAAAGGATAGGAGCTGGACTTGAGTTGACAGGTAAGGTTCGACGGTCGAATTGTTTTTTGGTTACAGATGCGAAGTGAGCGTGTTTGTGCCGAAGGGCGGTAGAGAACGTGGTGTCAAAGATTGACTGTGTAGAGAGTGAATGACTGGATGTCGAACCTGGAAGTCGCAGACCTGGGGTAGTAGAGGAAGGCAGAGGGGATAAACTACATTTATACAACTTGACGCTAAGCAGGAAACGGGCGTTGTGCAGCTGACATGGGCCAGGAAATTAAACGCGAGCGCCATCACATTTCCGCCCACGGCCCCGTCCTCCGCAGATTTACCTGTGCCTGGAGCTAGAGGCTCTCAAGCGCAATCCTCGTCCCAACCAAGCCCTTGGTAGACCGCTTGCATCCTTTCATTTCGTCTCTTGCTCAGTGACAGTCACCGTAGGCCAGGTTTTGGAGTCTGCAGCCCTACGCAGTCGCGTTGGGCGCTCTTGGGTGTGATGTAATGAATGTTCCGGTGGCTACATCCCTTCCAAGCCCATTGTGCTTCACTGCGATTGTGCGCGGCAATCAATAAAGCTTTGTTTGTCTATCCGTCGTTGATTGTCGTGCACTCTGGCGCTTCGACTCGGATTTCGTTGGTACGGTCCAGATGTGACAAGCGTCAGGGGTAAACACAGACGATCATTGGGCTTGCGCAAGGGACAGCTCATCAAACGCCCACTTCGGAAAATTAAGCGGAGAGCTAAGTCGAGAGCGGCAAAACGTAAAGATATCTCGAAGTGCGCCGCTGTGTCATTGGCTGTTATAATCGTTCGGACCAGGTACGGTTTCAGATGTTTTTCTTAGCCCAGGGTACAGCTTGGCCTGACCCGGCTGTGGAAGAAACCTCTTGTGAAAGGTAGTCCGAATAGTTGCACAACTACAGTCCGCCTTAGTTTCAGCTCTTGTGCCACAGCATCTGCTTGGCCCTTTCGCTCGTATCGCAGATGGCGAGCGATTCACGAGTCCGTGCGACTCCCATCGCTGTCCGAGGGAAGAGTCGAGACTCCAGAAGGCCGTTCGCAGAGTGGAGCCGCCGAAGGATTTCTACTCGGACGGGAGAGGTTATCGTGAAACGGCGAATCGTGGGATATTTGGAGATCCCGTTTCTATCGCGCCGGCCCAACAAGGTAGAAGTAGAGGGGAAGCTTGACTGCCGCCCGTTGTCGCAACATCCTTCCGCTGCTGCAGTCGATCGTGTGGATGTGACGATAACTGCCAGAGTCAGCGGCGCTACATGACACTCGACTTGGCTCCACCTCCAGTGTCACCATCTGCCATCGATCTTCCGCGTGGACGGTCGCCACGTGTTAGCGCACTGGGACAGCGACGAGATCTCGTCTCTTGACGTGGATCCGGTACACCGCATGGTCAGCGACCCTCCAAGGACTGTGCCCGAGCCGCCCACCAGGTAATCAGCCAGGAGCCGAGATCAAAATTCAACGTCATCTCTCGACCCAAGCATGCGACACAGCTAGGATGTCGTAAAATTAATGGTAGTGATAATGAGGGGTTGTAGCAAGGTGACCCAGCACTGTTTAATCAGCGACCCGTTGCGGCACCAGATTGTTTCTTTCAACCTCATCTCACTCAAGATGAAGCACCGAAGGCCTGCCGTACCTCAGGCCTCACGATTAAGTGAAACGTCGATTTTGGTCTGGATGCGCTCGCCGTTTGTCATGATGTGTCGCCGTGTGCTGGCGGCAAGCAGCCGTCTTGCGTGGCCACCGTGCAATTTCGCGGAGGCGGCTCAGGTCTTCTTCGTTGAATACTGCCGCAGACCCACAGCAGCAACGGCGTTTAGTATACCCGGTCCGTCATCAGGTTTTGAGGTCGCTGTCGCCCCGCTGTCGGCTGTACTCCGAGTGCGGTACGTGGTTTCTTTTCGGCTTTCGACCGCATGCTAGTCGAACTCTTCATCCACACACTTTTTAGCCCGGTCGCAACGCGCCCTCCGTCGCCGCGCCTGATAGGGCCAGCCCTGCAAGGTGTTCTCTCGCGCGTATGCACGATGCTGACGCATGCGCCGTTGATCGTCGAACTCCCTCGTGCCTGAAACGTGGAGGTCGGCAATCTTCCCTATCTGCTATCGATTAGATAGCTGGCCGAAGTGGCGCGAGCGTGCTGACGACCTGGGCGCCAGCAGAAGTCGCTGCTTTAGGTCATCGGGACGTCGTCGTGGCTCCTGTCAACCCGGCTGTTGAAGAAGATCCTTCATCCCGGTGTGCCGGACTAACCGTCAGGTACCATCGCGCCGATTTTCACATGCAGCCCGCAGCCCCGGCGGAGAACTGCCTCAACCGCGAAAATCCTGCAGTAGCGCGAACGAAACACGTGTGAGCCAGGAAAACCTCTACCTGCCAACTGTCTCGGCCGGTTAGTCTTTTGACAGACACGTCGGCGTTCCGGTGTCTCCCCTGGATGGCGGTCACGACGTCATCTGACAGCTCATGCAGCTTGCTGTACTTTTCCACCCAGCTGGCACAAACATCAGGATTTAGCGAGCAAATCCAAAAGCACCTGGGTCAGATAAGGCAGAAGAAAAGTGACATGTCACCTAAACAGGATGAAGTCATGGCAAGACGGGAGATCACTTCTTGCCTCCCGAACTCAAAAACGTAGGCGATGCCTGATCCAGATGGCGGCTTGGCGGCAATCATGGAAACGTCCACGGAGGCCTTCACACCTTGCTCAGGTGACGAATGAAGTTAAACCTGGCACGCCGCCGTGTCGAGCACGAAACACTGGGCGTTCTCACGTTGAGCGTCGTAGGCGGCTTCACATACACGCGTTCAGATATTCCAACCTGAGTATTTACACAGTCTGCTTCTTCTTCCATGCGGGTGGATTGGATGCTCGATCGATCAATCGTCATCTTACTTCATGATCCTACACTAAGACGTTCTAGCCTATGCGACTTCACTACTAGCTTTCGGCTTCACCACGTCGCTGTCTGCTTATTAGCCGTTCACCGATTGGTGCGCATCCGCTGTGCCTTGCATTCCCATAGACTATTCCAAGCTCCACCCGCATTTGTCTAGATTGCTGAGTCTCTGTGAGTATGCTAGATAACGGAAAACGCCACCGATGGCTGTTATTCGTGTCAGAATAGCCACGCTACATTCTGATTGACCCTCGCGAAGGGCGTACCTTGGAGTGGAGTAGCTATTCGCAGCAACAAAGCCTTGGAAGTGTAGACCAAGGCACCTATCTTTCAGAATCGGCTAAAGAAAAAGCAACGGCCGAAACTGTGTTCCATACGAGCCTAGACAGTTCCTTACATCATATCCAGGGCGCTGAGGTATGCGCCGCCCAATTAGGCAATCCGACCAACCAGAACCCATACCCCCGTCTCCACAGACAGCGCTGAAAACACCTCTGCGGGACGAAAAATCTGCAGTTACCGCCGGATGACTCGGAGACGCTTTGTTCTGCCCTGAATGTCTCAGTGTATGATTGGTGTGCCTGGCAGGCCTGTTGGGCCTTGGGGGCCCATACTTGTTCGGTAACGGATGTAGGTGTGATAAAGAGCTGGACTACTCCGTGGGCCCACTTTGAATTCCCATGTGTTTAAAGTCGACGTTCACCCCTCCTTGTTCTTGATCTACACACACTCCTTGTCACATCACAGTCAAGCTTCGACAGCTTTATCACATTCTTTCCAAACTTCCCTCTCTTGTTCAATTGACGGTCTGGACCTCCACTCATTCATCACTCCATCAACAACACACAGTCTCTCTAAGGAAACTTCGCCACACTCCCTTGTGTCGCCAACAAAGAACATCTTCAAACAACACCGTTACAGACCCTCTCAATCAACAACATGCTTTCCAAATTCACCTTCGCCATCGCGGCACTTCAGGCTAGCCTTGCCCTTGCTGGCAAAGCCGTCATCGCCAACCGCTGCAGCTACGACATCTGGGTCTGGTCGATCTCTACCGGATACGGTGTGCCCACAGCGGTCCGCATCCCTTCGCGTACCACCCACAGCGAGCCCTACACTGGTACCAGCACTTCCATCAAAGTCAGCAAGACTGAGACCCTCCTCGCTGGCCACCACACGCAATTCGAATACTCCATCGCCGCCGGTCAGCTCTGGTACGACATCTCTTTCGTCGACTGCGCCAATGGCGAGTCTGCGTCCAACTGCCCCGGCCACGACGAGGGCCTCGCCATGGATGCCAGCGACGACAGCTGCGGCAAGATCGACTGCGAAGCTGGAACATACTGCCCTTCGCAGATCTACTACGTCGACCAGCCTTTGAAGAAGCTTCAGATCGCCGAGCCCGTCTTCATGTGCCCCTTGTCGCTGGGCACCAGCCCCGACCTGTACATGAAGGTCTGCTCTGGCGAGGAACAGATCAAGAGGAGCGTTGCTGGACGCATGCAGATCAACGGCGAGGCTTAGATAGCCCTGGTGCCGCGCACTTTACGATTACTTCTCCAGCTCTTTTTATGATTACTTCTTACGTTCTTTATACATAAACTAGGGACGGGATATGGGATATACCTTGGGTTACGATTTGGTTACGACTTTGGATGATTCAATGAAACACGTTACGCTTGTACGAACTCTTGATTGACACATTTGCTCTGTGTGTTGTTCATCGTGATGATTAAGATGGCGCTATCTTGACGTCGGCTTCTGTATCGTTCGTCGTGGTAACGGGCGCTTATTGATACCAGGGCTGTGCCTGTCGCATTCGTGGCGGGGACGCGTCGCACGATACGAGTTGCACATTTGATTTTGGCCGAGTTGTGCCAGCTGGTGCGCTCCGGGGCTGCTGCCAGGCCATGGCCATGGGCATAAGCGAGTGTGTTAGCGCGAAGACCACGTCATGCAATTTCGTGCCCAACTCCATCTCAGCCCCCATCATGGTGATGTTTCATCGAGTGAGTATGGTTGCGGAGAAACGTACGACACGGTGTAAGCTTTTGGGAGGAGTATGTTGATGGTTCGAGTCTAGATCTCCTGTACGCGCCAACCGGATGACAGAGCCGCGCGTCAGTGGCGCAGAGGAAGACGAATACCGATGCGCTTCACCAAATACTCTTGAACTCGGCCTTGTCGTTGAACTTCGAAACATTACCCGATACTGCGGTACCTGATGCCTGTTACGACTCGACTGAGCTTAGTCGACGATCGCAGATCAGTCTCCATTTACCCCACATCTGCACCGAACGAACAGATCTACCCCGAGCCTTTGTCCTCTCAAAGGCCCCCTACCATTCGGGCTAGGCGTGGCACTCAACATGGCTGGTGGCTGCAATCGCTCGATATGCATATGAATTGTAGTATCAGCAGACGTGGCTACTTGCATCCGCGGGTAGATAGTCAGTCTCGTTGCGAGCCTACTGAAGCGATGGTGGAGTGGGGAAGCTCTTGCGAGAGGGGTTGCCGCGGCTACATCGAGCTGTGTTTCTTTCGACGTCTACCATATGACTGCTGATGTGCTGGGCTCCTTGAGCAATCTTAAGACCTGAACTACCGTTACAGCATCGAATTCCCTCTATCTAGACGCAAAATGACGACGAAAGGTCCGATCGCAGCAGCTCCGATAGCTGAGGTAACTCTTACCGAGGCAGAGGCCCCCAAGTCTACTGTCGATATCAAGACCGGAGAGATAGCAAACAAGGACGAGCTGCCTTTTGACCCGGCAGCGCTCCAAGCAAAGTACCTTCAAGAGCGTGATCGACGTTTAGCACGAGACGAAGGTGTAGAGCAATATATACTCCTCGATGGCAGCTTATCACACTACCTGGATGATCCTTGGGTCGAGCCAGGTTTTCACCGCGAGCCTATCGAAGAAGAGACCGAGGTCGTAATCATCGGTGGTGGTTACGGTGCTCAGGTCTGCGCCGTGCGTTTGATTGAGGCTGGCATCACAGACTTCAGGATCATCGAGAAGGCTGGAGACTTTGGTGGAACATGGTATGTTTTGTTGAACAGCATGCGACCCATTTACTAACAGCGAGTAAGGTACTGGAACAGGTATCCCGGGGCGCAATGCGACATCGAATCCTACATCTATATGCCCCTGCTAGAAGAAGTCGGATACATGCCTACGGAGAAGTATGCTCGTGCCAAAGAGCTTCTTAGGCACTCGCGTATGATTGGCGAAAAGTACGATCTTTACTCGCGTGCTCTCTTCCAGACCGAGAGCAAGGAGATGCGATGGAACGAAGAAGAAGGGAAATGGACTACGCACACAGCGCGCGGCGACAAGATCAAGTCACGATTCGTGATCCCGGCCGCTGGTCCTCTTCATCGGCCCAAGTTTCCCGGCTTGAAAGGCATCGAAGACTTCAAAGGCCATTCGTTCCACTCCTCGCGCTGGGACTATGCCTACACGGGCGGCGACCCATCGGGGAACTTGCACAAACTCAAAGACAAGCGCGTGGGTATCATCGGCACAGGCGCAACAGCTGTTCAAATCGTGCCTCACTTGGGCGAGTGGGCAAAGCAGCTTTACGTCTTCCAGCGTACACCTTCTTCGATCGATGTTCGTGCGAATCGCCCGACCGACGAGGCATGGGCGCAATCGCTCCAGAAAGGATGGCAGAAGAAGCGCATGGACAATTTCGACAACATTGTCAACGGCGGCTACGAGAAAGAAGACATGGTATCTGATCGATGGACAGACATCATCCGGTCTCTAATCACCGCCGGCATCGACCCAAACAACCCCGTCGAAGCTGCAGCCAAGCGGCAAATCGCAGACTTCAAGAAGATGAACGCCATCCGCGATCGAACCGACGAGATTGTGAAAGACAAAGCAACAGCCGACGCTCTGAAACCATGGTACAACCAATTCTGCAAGCGTCCCTGCTTCCACGATGAGTACCTGCCGACCTTCAACCGCCCCAACGTCACGCTCGTCGATACCAAAGGCGAAGGTGTTGACCACCTCACCCCCAACGGCGTCGTAGCCAACGGCCAAGAATACGAACTCGACTGCCTCATCTACGCCACTGGTTTCGAGCTCGCAAACGAATGGTCGCACAAAACCGGTATCGAGATTTACGGCCGCGACAACCAGACTATAACCGAGAAGTGGGCTGATGGCGCGCAAACGCTGCATGCATGGGGCACGCGCAACTTCCCCAACTGCCTCTTCGTTCAAATCGTTCAAGCGGCTCTTACGCCGAATTTCATGCACGTCACTAACGAGCAGGCGATTCATTATGCGTACATCATCTCCGAGTGTAAGAAGCGGGGTATCAGAACTGTGGAGCCGATGCAGGATGCGGAGGAGGCATGGACGAAGACGATTGTTGATGGGACGGCGATCCGGGGTGACTTCCTGAAGGAGTGCACACCCGGGTACTACAACAACGAGGGCAAAGATAGTGAGAGGGAGAAGAGGAATGCCACGTTTGGATATGGAAGTCCGGCGTTTATCAAGATCTTGAATGATTGGAGGAAGGAGGATGCAATGAAGGGCGTGGATGTTACGTACGCCAAGGACGAGGCGGCCGATGCGCTGGCAAGGAGTCGTATATAAATCATCCTTTGGGACAGTCTTCCTTACTCATAAATTCTACTCTCGCATTCCAAAAACCGTGCTTGGGTCATTGATGAGAATTCGGCTTTTGAAAACACCAACATGAACTCATTCTCCAAATCCTTCGTTCACATACTCAAAACCTCGCGAAGGCTCTTCATGGCTCACTTATGAACATGTTTATCTTACAGCGCATTCCTTTGGGCCCACCAATATCCTAGAATATCAAAACCACAAACACATGTTCATCAAAAACTCTGGAGGCCGAAATAATGTCCCACAAGGCGTGCGAAAAGTGTACATTCGACTAGCCATCTTGAAAATGGCGGACGAAACTTCTGCTCATCACTTCTCGGCTTCGCTATCATACTGAAAAGCCCATGACCTTTTTCCGATGTGACCAGCGTCGCTGCGCATCATAGCCGCTATTACGACAAGTATGTTAAGCTGTATTGCTCGCTCCACCACTCTTGTACACTCATACCCACAAGTACCATTTTCCAAAACAAAGGAACGGTTCAACCATGGAGACCCCCAGCGTCAAAAACGAAAATCGCACTCATCTATGTTCGCCGCGCTCGACTCCACTCTCCTCTGCAAAACTCTCGGAAACAAGGCGCAGGACTCAAAAAGCTGCAGACTTACCCCATGTTGGCTTCTCCCTCTTTCCAGATACATATACCGCACACTGGCGTGTTCCGACCACACCATCCCCAGCGCAAACCATCTACTCAAATCGACTTCGGTATAGTACATGTTGTGCCGTTCCGGACTTCTCTCGATATCAAAGCAACCTTTCCACGCACTCTTCCTCCTCGCTTCTTAACCATACCACTGGCGATTTTTCCCAAAACTTAACGAGAAAAGAGTTTATGGGTGTCGTCCTCTGAAAATCGATTCATCATTCTGCGATACGATCGCTGCTTCGTCTTCCTCTACAAAACTCGTAAAACGCGTCCGAATGGCCTTTGCTTCCTTCCAACTTCGAAATATTCTGGATCGCTTCGTCTGCAAAACGCAAGAGCGCCAAGGACATGAGCGCTGGACCTAAAACTCTCCGATTACTGGTACATGTGAGAGAGCGGGCCTTTGCAAACCAAAAAATGAACATCGGATTCGTTCTTTGCATGCTGGTCGCTGCGTCGACTTCAAACAATACACCATTCTTGATATGACCGCCTCGGCACAGCGCAGCGAGAATGCTGATATAAAAGCTTCTGCTATCTCGCTGCTCTCCATCCTTCCTTACATCTACTTCCTCCCACATTACCAAAACAAAGAGGATGACAATACATGGAGAGTACCTCGCCTCCTCTCTTCCCCAAATACCAAAATAGCACCTCAGCAGCAGTTATGGAGAACGTCTCCCTCCTCCTTTCGCCCAATTCCTGAAAGTAAAAGCTGATTTATCGATGAAAAGACCTCGCCTTCCCGTTCCCCGATATCCAAAAAATCATGCCTGCCTTTTTGTCATGGGAAGATTTCGGCTCTCCTCTCCCGGAATCCACCGAAAAGCCCAGGCGGTTCTTGCCATGAAGAAGATCTCGCCCTCCCACTCTTCTATGTTAACCAAAATCATACCACCACAAGCCGATGAGAGTTCTGTCCCTCCTCCGTAAAACCAATACCGCCTCAGTCCATGAGACGCAGCGTCTCAGCAAAACAAACTCTAAAAATTGGGCGGCATTTGCAGGGTCGTCTGCAAGAAAGTCCCCATTACCATCTTGCCAATCGAAATCTAAAAAAGCCAGCCCAACCTGGAGTCATGTCTCTGCATTCTTCTCCGAGTCCAAAAGCGTTCGAGGACTTTTACATGTTCTTCTGCGGGGACAAAAATACCACAAAGCTGCCAACCATGACGAGCCGTCGTTCGGAATCGGGCTAGTGTCGCAGATGAGGGAGTGAAGCGCATAGTCCCTGTATGGTGATGATGATGCGCCCCATCATCACGCGATATTAGAATGTGTGAAAAGCAAGGGGATCTGACTGAGTAATGTAACATGGGGTATCATTCATCGCCAGCGCTACTCAATGTGCACGAAAGCTTCTTCCCACCATTTCGCTCTTCGCTTTCATAATGTAGTATACACGTATCCATCTGCACTTCCTCTGCAAAGTCTCTCCCCGACAGCCAATCTCCTCAATGCCAGCCCCTACAACGGCGGACTCTCCGGCCGATCAATAGCCAAAGAGAGGTAGTAATCGGTCAGCGCGTTCATCTCGTCGCCGTGGTCCGTATCGAAGTCATCCTGCCTATCTGCATGAGCTTCTTCGCCCCACCTCTCCAACGCTGGAACATCCAACTGCATGCGCCTGTTGTGAGCATATGGCTGCTGAACGCACTCGTATCCGAGGACGCCAATATCCCAGACACCAGGGCAGGAGTCGCAAATGAGCGTTGTAGTGGCCGGAGCGATAGGGTTGACGGAGCCGCAGCGGAAGCAAGCAAACGAGCAGCGCTCACACAGGACAACGTCGCTGTTGTCTGTCGTAGACGGGCGGGCCGGACGGGCACAGTACGTGCACTTCGATTTGCCGGGTATAATGGCGCCTTTAGTGTCGATAGCCTTCCATTGTCGACGCAGTTCATCTGGGATACGGTCTGCGCTTCGTCCCGAATCGCCAACGTCCTCGCTCGTGACTTTGTTGAGGTTGTCCTTGCAGGCAGGGATGTCACATTGGGGGCCTCGCGACGTTGTAAGACCGAGCTGGAACTGCAGTGCTTGCTCGCGGAGGAATGGCGCATCGATACCCTCATCAAATGGACCATCGTAGTTCACACCTTGAACGACTTGTTGAATTGGTAGACGTCCCATAGGCGTAACTTGTAGCTGCTGCGTCTGTAATAGATAGTTGCCTTCAGTGATACCAGAATCCGGTGCTAGACGAGTGATGTCGCCATCCTCGTCCTGGATATCGTCTTTCTCATCGTCTTGATAAGGCATATACCGTAGTCTGTTTGCGTCCTTGAATGTGGTGTCATCTCTGCCAACTTCAAGCACGTTGACTGAGCCATTGACTTCTCCAACGACAAGCTTGCTATAGTCTGGACTAAAAGCCGCAGACATGATACCGGAATCTGTGGTAATTAAGTCCTTGATGAATGTGTTCTGTTCTGCGCGCGTGACGTCCCAGACCTTGACCACACCGTCGGATGAACCTGAATAAAGCCGAGTGGCATTCTCGCCCCATGACAAGAACCGTATCCCGGTGTCTGTAATCTCATGCTTGATTCCCTCTTGGAGAGGCATTAGGGAGCTACCGTGAGAGAGGACGCGCAGAGGATCATCTGGCCAACGCGCATCCCAGACATAGACCTTTCCGTCTGTACAGCCAGCTGCGATCAGCCGCTCGTCATGTGGACACCAAATTACATCGTTCATATCCAGAGCCTTGCACTCAAACTCCAAGGGACAGGTGAACTTGCTGTCGTCTCTTACATCGTAGAGGCGGACCGTTGAGCGAATACCGCGGTTGACAGTGGAGCCTACTGCTACACATCCGGCAGCAAACATGGTAGAGCGGTTTGGGTTGAAAGTGACGTCGAAAACATTCCTGTTAGAGCCGTGAATATTGTATGGGGTCTGCGTTTCGACATCCCACAAGCAGAGATCGCCAGTCATATCAAAGCCTGTATCCTTCAGGTTGGCACCGAAGCCTGCAAGAAGAAGCCCGCCATCGGTCGGTTCGAATTGAAGTGCAGAAGGGAGAATTCTCAGATCTGCGCGCGCAACAGCCTTGTTCGAGTGAAAGCTCGCTTTGGTAAAGTTGCACGGCTCCGTTTCATCTATCTTGAGTACCCTTATAGCCTTCTTATTGACCTTCGCTGCCGTTGCTATAACGCCAGAGTGTATACGGTTGACTGACAAGATATCGATTGAATCTTTCACGTTCAGCTTGGCGGCTAGGGTAGGCTGTGTTGCCTCTGTATCTGTTTTCCAGATACATATGTGCCCATCATAGCCTGACGAATACATGTATGGGCTGCTATTCGAGAAAGCTACCGAGCTGACTGTAGTGTAAAGCTTTGGGTCTTGGGAGGCGAACGTGGCATGGCTTGAGTTAGCGCCGGTCTCGGTCTTCTCGCGAATCTTGTAGTGCTCTGCCAATTCATGGATTGTGCCATCCACGGCACTCCCGAAGAGGAGGTTGTTGGGTCGATTGTATTGCATAGAGTCTGGATCGTCAACAGCGACAGAACCAGCAGCAAAGTGCTCACCATCCGGCGCCCATGCAACAGTGTGGATGTCGCTTGATGCACCCGTCCAGCAGGCTGCCGGTCCCATGGTATCCATATACTTGTTCTTGACCTGGTAGGTAAGCGGATTTGACGCACCATGCCAGCCTCTTCTGGATTGGAGGCCTAGCTCGCGTTGACGGATGATCGATGCTGTGGACTGCTTCTGGGTTGATTGCATCTCTGTGTCAGGTCGCGCAGCCGCAAGCCTCTGTATTTGGGGTACCTCTGCAACATCGCCGGCTAGTGCATCTTGTATAAAGGCTTGGATGCTGCTCCGATCGCGGCAGGGCAAACGATGAAGGAGGTCCTCGATCAGTCGAAGGATTTGCGGTTCTGTAAAAGTTGTCAAGTGTTCGCGCAGCTGCCTTCCTTTTGTGCGGTGCCGTGATATCGTGGGTGTGGTTCTTCTTGTCAATGCGATAGCCTTCTCTACCGAAGCGATCTCGTCTTGGCTAAAGTCGACATGTACTAGAGTTCCTTGCCAATCGCGACTAGACAGCTGGTCCCAGTCTCCGGCAGGTGGACTCTGCATCGACAAACGTTGCGATGTGCTGAGATATGGCACTTTCTCGGTAGTGTTCTTGCGCGGTTTCTTACGTGAACGTAAACTCAGTCCAACTTCGGCATCATCGGCATCATACTGAACGTCTACCGGCTCGTTGTCGACGGCGATCGCCTTACTAGGCAGAGGAATGTCGTCCTCTGGAGACGTCTCTGACCGAGCGTGACCAAAATCGTCCGCGAAGGCTTCGTAGTTGTCTTCCATGAACTCCTCTTCGATCCCAGCTCCCGGAATACCCCGCTGCTTCGGCCATGTGTAATTGACTCGCTGTGTCCGGCGCGATCGCTCTCGCCGAGGTGCAGAGTCTCCTCCTGAGGAGTAGTCGTGTTCAATGGTCGGTTGAATTGGTAGGTGTCTGGGCACAGCCTGTTCCTGGCGTTTAGGTTGGTGAGCTTGCGAAGTCGACAGATTGTTCCTTGGCCCTCTTGATGGCGCGCTGGTACTACGAACGAGATTCCAATCAATATTCGCCTCTGCGGCCCACCGAGGGGGCAGGATTAAGGTGGAGGGGTCCTGAGACCGGTCTCTCTTATTGAGAAAGGTCGAATAACGAGACTGGAGTGCTGCGTATGGGCGGTTTGGCATGTCGTGATTAAACTCTGCTGTTATCTGTGCCCATGAGAACTGCTTGACCTCTTTAAGAAAGACGAGGTAGTTATCTTGTGCCGTATCGAACGGGTTCATTGCTTTCTTTCGTCCAGTGGAGGGTGGCAGTGCAGGTACATCCGCGCCCTTTGGGAGGGTGGATGAGTGGAATGCAGCGACTGCTGGTCCGAGACCGGGTTGGGCATGTCCGCTCTTTACCTTGTCTGATGGCTGTTGCGGTACAGAGTCTGCTGAAGACGAGACATCGGACATGACACTATCCCCGTCGTCTGAAATCTGCTCTTTGGCAGGACCCGCGAAGTAGTTTGGCCTTGACGGGACGTGGCCTGCACCTGGCGCAGGGCGACTGTACGGTCTTCCTGGGCCTCTGGTTGGCATGCCCGCACTTGCTCCGTTGTACGTGGTCGCATCACGGGATTGTTGTTGTCGAATGGCCGGTGCCTGTGACGTTCGCGGCGTCTCTCGTGTCGGTGGTGCTGGCTTGACCGGGCCTGAGCTGCTACCTGGCCGGCGACCGATATGGAGTGCGCGTGGACTGCTCGTCCTGACTCCGTCTAGCATAGGCGTACCGTTTGTCTTGAGCGCCTTGTTGATATCTTGGACGGATGGAGCTTTGTTCGCATTGCCAGCGCTCGGCTTCGAAGTAGCAGTTGGAGGAGGTACTGCTACACGGGATTCCGTTGCCCAAGCATTAAGCTTGTACTTGCCTAGAGTGGCGGCTTGCGCTGCTGGCGGAATCCCTCTGCTTGTGGTCGGTTTCTTCACAGGTGGCGTTGGCGGTTTGGAAGCGCCTTCAGATGTCTTGATCCTTTTGGCAGCCCGCGAGTCGCCTGCCCCATTAGTTGACTGCCCGGGGACCGGCACGTAAGTGTTGGGCGCCAGGCCAAGGCGTCCCATACTCGCCGTGTCTGTCGCTTTCGGCATGCTTCCGGGTAGCGGAGGATATGGGGTTGCGTATGCAGGTGCGGGTCGCGTCGTGGAAGGAGGTGGTCGCGATGAAGGTGGTTGAGGCAAGGGCGCGCTCATGGAGGTGAGTGAGTGAGGGTGAGTCGGTGTGGGAGTCGCCAAGGGCAACGAGGACAGCGGGCCCTCGTCGCTTTCCGCATCGTCATCATCGTAGGTGAGGTCGACTATGGAATGTCGCCAGTCGCTGCACATGTTAGTCGACTCCTTTACTCTATCGCACCGCATGTGCAGCTATGAGAGATTACACAATATGACAAGAGAATATCACTACTAAGAGAAGCACTCACCTCATTTCCATCAGTCTCAGCGGCAGGCAACACGTCCATGGGAGAAATGGTGCTTGTCGCGTTGAGTCTACGGGTGGTTTGCGACCAACCGTGGATCGCGTAACCGCGTACCCCCGCTAGCCGTGGCTTAGCGTCCTGTGGCGTCACCCCCTTCACCTGAGAGCGGAAACCTACCGTCTTTTTCACTGCAACTTGATCAAGTCTCACCGCGATGCTCTAGAACCTCAAGACATATTCAAATGAGAAGAATTTCTTTGGGTCTCAATCAGATAGGTAGCCTGACATCAAATAATCTCAAAATAATGGACATCAACCTTCATTACACTCCCATCTCCCACTCAATACACCTTATCGTGCTCTACACCCTTATCCATATCCCCCTTCCCCTCAACATCCTGCCTACTATCCTGCACCGCCAACCCCGCAACAACACTCTCCTCCCCAGGCTCAGCATCTGTCGGCACAGGCGGGCCCGAAAACTCCTTCCTACCACTAATGAAATACCACGCCACACTAATCGCCGCGAAGCCCGCGAAAACCACACTCGCATAGTTCATGGTAGCGGGCTCAACAGGCAGACTAACCGGCATACAGAAGAGCACGACAGCGAGGCAAATCCACGCAATCATAGCAACGTTAATGGCGTAGCCGAAGCGGCCGAGCGAGAAGGACGAGTGTTTGACTGCTCTGCGGCCGCGCAGCACGGAGATGAGGATGGGCATGCCGTACGAGGTGGAGAGGCAGATCGTAGCCACACCGGTGAAGGAGTTAAATGCGGCTGAGGAGCCGAAGTAGATGAGACCGAGGAGGCAGTCGACGACTGTAGAGAGGACGAGCGCCATGAGCGGGATGTCGAAGCGTTTGTCTACCTTGGCCCAGAGTCGCGAACCGGGAATCGCTCCGTCGCGAGCAAACGCATAGGTGCAGCGTGATGCAGCGGTTAGAGCGCCTGTGCCAGCGAAGAAGAGGATGCCGAGGATGAGGAAGAGGAGGCCGAATCCGCCGCCTGCACTGCCGGTTACGGTCTTGAAGAGCAGGCCGATGGGTTGGCCGTTTGCGACGTCGAGGAGGAGTTGTACGTCTGGGAGAACGAAGAGGATCGGGATCAGGTAGATGACTCCTGTGACACCGGCTGCTGCGACGGAGAGCACGATGGCTTTGGGGACTTCGCGGGAGGGGTTCGATACTTCTTCGCACATGGCGGCGACCATACCGTAGCCTGTCAGCGTGTATGCAGCTTGGAGAAGACCGACGAAGAAAGCCCATCCTGATGGCCTAGCAGTAAAGTTAGTCCAGCTGTCTCATATCCCATGTCAAAACAACATACCATCCACTCTGACTGGCATCATAATGCGCAAACACAAACTCCGCATCCCTCTTCGTGTCCGCCATAGTCAACAGCACGATCATAATAACCACCACGCTACTCGCCGTCCAGTAAATACAGATCTTGTTGATCAGATCGAGGTACTTCGCCCCGAAGATATTCACCGCCATGCAGATCAGCATGACTGCCCAAAATGCAAGAACAGTCTGCCACTCATTCGGCACAAAGTCCTCGTTCCAAAGCGTAATAGCCGATAAGATGAGTTGGCCACCAGAGAAATTGATCGAAAGCGTAACCGTCCAGTTGCCAACTAACGTCAACCAGCCCGTTACCCACGACGCGATGGGCGCCCATTCGCGAGTGGAGAGCATGGCGGACCAGTAGTACACACCGCCGGCTGTGGGATAAACAGCGCAGATCTCAGCGAGGGACGCGGCGATGCAGAGTGAGATGAGGGAGACGAGGATCCAGCCGTAGAGCACAGTCACCGATTGCCCGTCCGTAAGCGTAATGTAGAGTGTTGTCGAGAGACCGAATGGAACGGCCATGATGGCAAACGACATGCCGAGGACGCTCAGCATGCTCAGATTCCGTGGTAGTTCAGATTGGTAGCCCATCTTCGCCAGGGCAGCGTCGGCGCCCGGGTCGTTGATCGAAGCCCGTCTTCGTGTGGCATCTTGTCCTCCTCCTGCTCCGCCTTCGGTGACGGAAACGCTCTTCGCCATGGTTGCCTCGTTGTACCGGTATCCGCGATCGATTCAGAAAACCAACTCTTACTGCACTTCGAATCCTAGCGCTGCGATGGAAATGCGACGACCTAGAAACCTCGTGTCGCAATGTCTTAACCTCGGAACCGTCCAGTATAAGAACAAAACAAATACCGCGATAACAGCGCGGCAGCAGGGCTATATCACCAGTCAACAGGATAAGGGAACACGAAAACCCAAGATAAAAAGATGACCACGCGAGCGCCGCCGAAATCCCCGCAGCTGGCTCAAGCCCACCCAAAGGGCTAGACTGACTAATACTAATCCTAGCGGTCTTGGGAGCTGGGAAGCTGCGAATGCGACGCTGCAATCGTTCGCTCCACAGCACGAGTCGGAGTCGGAGCGCGCGCCAGAAAGATAGGCGTCTCCAGGGCTGTGCTGAGCTGTGCTGATATGGCACCGAGAAACTACCCACCCAACAACATACACCACAGCACACATCAAGTAAGCTCAACGATAAGACTCCTTTGAACACCCTGCCCGATAGCCATTGCGCGCAGCGCGTGTAACAATCGCGAGCCAGACCCTGGCGATACCGACCACGCGAAAGCGCATGTCACCGATCAACTAGCCGGGACAATGCGTCATCTCCGTAATCGGGTGTGTTTGCCGTTCTTGTGGGGTCGACCACCGCCAGCCCAATCGGCCCCCTCTAGTGGGACCCCAGCCAGCAACAGCTCCGAGCAAAAGGCCGTTCTTCGTATCTTTTGTGGAGGGAGGAAAGTGGACATGCTGGGGCCGCCCCCCGGGGTGGGACACACGACACGTTTATCACGATTGCGATACTGAGTTGGTGGTGTGCGAAGATAGGATGTGGGAAAACAACATGATGATATATAATAGTACAATTGTGTTTCCCGAGACATGGCCTCGGGATGCGAGACTAATGCATTTACTCCTTCTAATGCAGGAACACCTGTATGCCGCGCCCGAATCCTTCATGACAACCATGCTGTTCATCCCTGACATGTGCATCCTGATAACGGTCATCTATCTCCGTTTTCCATATCTTGATCGTTTCCCGTAACGTTTTTACTTGGCCATGACATCGACATAACGTCCACCCTTCTTCTTCTTACCCGCCGGGCCCTTCCTTGCCTGAGGTGCGCCGAGCAAATCGTCAATACTACTAGCATTGCTCATCCCAGTGCCCGGTCGCGATGGCGGTCCGGAGGCAGCACCGAAGCTGGGTCTGGCGAGCGTAGGTGGCTTGGGTCCAGCGAAACCCTCTTCGTCGGATTCTGGGATGCCAGGTGTAGATGCGCGGGAGCCTGCGACACCCATTGGCGGTGGCAGCGACGACGAGCGGGGGTTGGAGGTAGGTGGACGCAGTGCACCTGCGCCGGGAGGACCCATAGGCGGTGTGGGTGCGGCGCTACCTGAGGCACTTCGAGCTCCGCCGCCGGGAGGTCCAGCACGTGGAGGTGGTGGTGTTGCAGCGGGCTTACCCGTGTCTGCCGCGCCGCCCTTCTTGTTTACCCACTTGCCAAGATCTGTGTCGTAGTAGAAACTGCTCTCTTCTCCCAGCTTGGCCTTGATGGGACCGGGACCGGCGTTGGGATCTTTCTTAAACCACCCAGACAGCCATCCTCCCTTCTTTGCTGCTGCGGCTTCCTTGTCGCGTTGGGCATCTGCTTCGGCGGCTTTGCGGAATGCCTCGTCTGCCTTCTTGTCTGCATCTGATTTAGAGCTGCTGCCTCCACTAATCTTCAAGGCCGAGGCGCGGGCAGCGAGGTCGTCATCGTCGTCAAGATCCATGAAAGACTTCTTCTTTGATATTTGCTTGTCTTCTTCCTTGTCATCCTCGTCCGGATTGTATGGCTGGTACGCAGGAGGCTCAAAGGTAGATGACGAAGGTCCGTATCGATCGTAGGTGAGCTCGTTTGCTGTTGGCTCATCTGAATTCGCTTGAGGCTGATAGCCACCAAATGCAGGAGCCAGGGAAGGCTCTCCGGCAGGTGGTGTGGGCATATAAGGACTACCGAAAGATGGTTGAGCTGGGCTGTACTCTGGACGAAGGGGTGAGTACGACTGTGCCTTGGCTGCCGTGCGTGCACTCGGTGGGCTCAGTTGATTTGAAGTCGGGCTGTACACGTTTGACGTGGGTGTCATAGGCGTGTAGGTGTCAGATACTGCTCGTACGCCGAAGCTGTCGTTCGATTCCATCGATGGTCGACCTTGAGGCTCATAACGAGATCGTTGCTGCTCTGAAGATGACCTTGGCGCGTACGTGTTCGATGGTGCATACCTTGAGTTGCCGGGGACAGGTGGTTGCGTAGGAGCGCCATAGCCAGACATTGCGCCATAAAGATCCGTGCTCGACTGTGAGGGCGTGAGGGATGGGCTATTGCCAGCGATCTTAGCGAAAGGTCCGTCCGGCCCACCAGACTTGTTGGCTGTGTTGTCCTCGTCGTCTCCTGCAATGAAGCTGTTGAACTTTGATAGAAGCGAGCTTCCAACCTTGTCCATGCTAGGCTTCGAGATCCACGATGACGATCCATCCTTCGGAGACTGCGACAGTCGCTTGCTCAAATCGTCAAGACTAGCGATGAAAGCAGCGTTGTAGTATAGCGAGACTTGAGTTGTAGCCTTCATTGCGGCTGCGATGGCATCGCAGTATGCTTGTGCGTCGGTCCGGTACCCATTCTCGGCGAGTTGATACGCGTGTGCAAGTTTGTAGTTTTGCAAATGAGGAATGACATACGATCCGCTCGGGGATGACAGCGATAGCGCGAATTCGTACACTTCGGTCAACAATATTGGCTCCATCTCGACACCCATTTCCAGAGGGTTGAGACGATGATCAGCACTGATCAGAACAAGATCAGCCTGCGGGTCATCGACTCCACTGACTTTCAGAACCGAACGCGCGATGATGAAACAAACATGTGCAGCTTCGATGCGACCGTAT